ACCAGGGGCTGCACCTAGGGATTGGGCCTGCCCTCTGCCACCCGGGAGCAGGCCTAAGCCAGCAGGTCGTTATCTCCCGAGGGGTCCCAGACTGCGAGAGGGCACAGGCTGGGCTGGGGGACCCACCCCCTCCCCTCCCAAGTGCACAAATTTTTGTGCACCGGGCCTCTAGTAATTATAATAATAGTTGAAACCAGCGTCTTGCTGAACAGGCTGGTGTGGACGAGCCTCCGGAAGCCCTGGGTTCCAGCTCCTGGTCCCAGGTCCTTTCTGCTCTTCTCTTTATCAGAGTCAAAGCCCGGCTTCCATGTGCAGAGTGCCTACTGCGTGCTTGCCGCCATTCTAAGGGTTTTCTATGCGTTGGTTCTTTTACTCCTCCTAACGGCCAAGTGAGAGGCAGGACAGCACAGTTCACATGAATTCCATCTTGAGGTCAGATCCCAGCTCTGCCACTTGCTGGCTGTGTGGCCTTGGGCAGATCCCTCACCCTCTCTGTGCCCTCAGTCTCCTCGTCTGTGAAATGGGGATGATAATGGCACCTTGTGTGTGCAGAGTGGGGGTCCCCTTACTAGGTGCGTGTGCAGAGTGTCTACTGCGTGCTTGCCGCCATTCTAAGGGTTTTCTATGCGTTGGTTCTTTTACTCCTCCTAACGGCCAAGTGAGAGGCAGGACAGCACAGTTCACATGAATTCCATCTTGAGGTCAGATCCCAGCTCTGCCACTTGCTGGCTGTGTGGCCTTGGGCAGATCCCTCACCCTCTCTGTGCCCTCAGTCTCCTCGTCTGTGAAATGGGGATGATAATGGCACCAGTAACATGGGTTTGGTGGGCTTGAGTGAGTTCATATCAGTCATGTGCCCAGGACGGTGTGCGGAGAGGGAAGCTTTTGCTGCCGTGGAGATGGTGGCGATGATGGAAATCTTCATTGTCATTATTCTGCATCACACGTGGAATGTACGCGGCCTGCCCGGGTCACATAGCAAGTAGGCAGCAAACTAGGGACTCAGGCGTGGTACCTGGGCCCTTCCCCACGGTGTCCTCCCATCTCTGAGAAGGGGAATCGGCTGTGGTCCAGGCACTGGTCAGTTGGTGGGCTTGAGGGAGTTCATATCAGTCATGTGCCCAGGATGGTGTGTGGAGAGGGAAGCTTTTGCTGCTGTGGAGATGGTGGCGATGATGGAAATCACCATTGTCATTATTCTGCATCACACGTGGGAATGTACGCGGCCTGCCCGGGTCACATAGCAAGTAGGCAGCAAACTAGGGACTCGGGCGTGGTACCTGGGCCCTTCCCCACGGTGTCCTCCCATCTCCGAGAAGGGGAATCGGCTGTGGTCCAGGCACTGGTCACTGCACGGGCCCAGGCACTGGTCACTGTCACCCGTCGGGAAGTTGCCTTGCCTGGCCCAGCCTCCGCTCCTTCCTGACTCACAGGGCACCCAGGAGCCAGGCAGCCTCCTGGTTCAGATTCCCCAGCGATTCTCCCCCCGCCCCACCCCTCTGCGTGGGAGGAGGGACAGTGCCCGGAGGCCGAGGGGCCAGGATGTCACCCGCCTGAAGAGGGCCTGTCACTGTACCCACGACTGAGCCAGCCTGGTTCCCCTTCTCCCGACTTCACCTGAACCCCTTTCCTGGGCTGGGTGGTGGGAGATCTGTACGGAGCTTGTTCTTTGCTGATGTCTGGGGTACAGTCTGTGTTGGGGGCCCACAGAGGGCACTGCCACCTGGGCTGCAGACCTGGGCCCTGCCCCAGGTCCTCACTGGCCAAGGGGGTGTCAGGGCAGTCGGCCTGTTGGACAGCTGCCATGTCGGGCTAGAGAACAGGGCGTGCTGGGGCTGAAGAGAGGGGCCCAGCCTATGAGGGTCCCGGGCCCCCACGCCCCCACGCCTCACAGCTGCTCCCCTTCCTGTCCCTCCTCACCACGTTCCCGGGGCTCTGGCAGAAGAAGAGACCCGTGCTTCTGCAGCCAGCCTGGTCCTTGGCATCCGCAGGCAGAAGCAGATGCTCAGGTGAGGGGTTCTTTGCAGCTCTGGGCCCCCCAGAGGCGAGGAATGGGAGAGGGAACCTTGTGTACCTGTGTGTTGATCCCTGACCCCGCATTGCACAGATGTAGAAAGAGGCTCAGAGAGGCAAAGCTATGTGTTGGGGGCCCACAGAGGGCACTGCCACCTGGGCTGCAGACCTGGGCCCTGCCCCAGGTCCTCACTGGCCAAGGGGGTGTCAGGGCAGTCGGCCTGTTGGACAGCTGCCATGTCGGGCTAGAGAACAGGGCGTGCTGGGGCTGAAGAGAGGGGCCCAGCCTATGAGGGTCCCGGGCCCCCACGCCCCCACGCCTCACAGCTGCTCCCCTTCCTGTCCCTCCTCACCACGTTCCCGGGGCTCTGGCAGAAGAAGAGACCCGTGCTTCTGCAGCCAGCCTGGTCCTTGGCATCCGCAGGCAGAAGCAGATGCTCAGGTGAGGGGTTCTTTGCAGCTCTGGGCCCCCCAGAGGCGAGGAATGGGAGAGGGAACCTTGTGTACCTGTGTGTTGATCCCTGACCCCGCATTGCACAGATGTAGAAAGAGGCTCAGAGAGGCAAAGCTAATAAAATAACCGGAATATTTGGGATCAGGATATAAATGAGTTCTTAGTCCCCCAAACTCAAGGCATCCCAGGCCTCAAAATATGTATTAATAACTATTATATCTCCTCAGTCTGTAGACCTACTAGGTGCCTGGCACAGTGCCTGGTGGTCTTACACATATACACAACCAGGTGGGCCACCCGCTAGGCTCTGGCACTTACTGGGCCATGGAGGGAAATGAGCAAGCCAGCTGTTACTGGTGTAGGCCAGTGGTTCTCACCCAGGGCGAGTTGACATTTGGTAATGATTGGGAAGTTTCTGATTGTTATAGCTGGAGGGGTGCCGCTGGCTTCTTGTGGGGGGAGGGGGCAGAGATGCTGCTACACACCCCACAGTGCACAGTGCTAATTCAGTAACAATGGATTATGTGGCCCAGGCCACAGTGGCGCTGAGGGTGACACACCCTGGTGTGGAGGAGCCGCCGGGATGGGTAGCACCCGGTGCTAGCAATAGTGGGCAGCCGTCAGCACCCCGGCCTGGAGGTGAGGCAGGGCGCCGTGTGGACAGGGCTGCCGGCAGGGGCCCACAGGAGACATGCCACCCAATACCCTTTCGCCCCATACTAAAGGGGAAACTGAGGCTCGAAGAGGGCAACTAAGGAACTGGCCCAACATGGTAGAACTAGCAGAGGCTGAGCTGGGGTTCAAACACAAGTTAGGTTGCCTGATGCCAGACACCTGCCCAGTTCTGGAATCAGGCAAGAACTACTCTGCATGGCCCTCGGGACTCGGGGTGTATGCATGGCCCTTGGTTGGGCTGCTGATGTGTTCCTGGGTCTCTGGTCTCTGTTGGGAGGTTGGCTTGGCCCTACTCGACCGGGAGCCCCATCAGGGGTCCTCCTGCCAGGCCTCTCCCATTCCCTTTCTCTCTTCCAGCAAAGACCTGCAGCCCTCCTAGGCCGTCGCCCCAGCAGAACCGCGCTCAGCCAAGGTAACCGTGCCCCGGCCGCCCTGAGCCCCTAACTGGTTCCAGATGCCCTGCCCGAGGCGGGCCAGGCCGTGCAGGCCAGGCCTTGTGTACCTGTGTGTTGATCCCCTCCCCTACCCCGTCCCCCCACTGCACAGATGTAGAAAGAGGCTCAGAGAGGCAAAGCTAATAAAATAACCGGAATATTTGGGATTAGGATATAAATGAGTTCTTAGTCCCCCAAACTCAAGGCATCCCAGGCCTCAAAATATGTATTAATAACTATTATATCTCCTCAGTCTGTAGACCTACTAGGTGCCTGGCACAGTGCCTGGTGGTCTTACACATATACACAACCAGGTGGGCCACCCGCTAGGCTCTGGCACTTACTGGGCCATGGAGGGAAATGAGCAAGCCAGCTGTTACTGGTGTAGGCCAGTGGTTCTCACCCAGGGCGAGTTGACATTTGGTAATGATTGGGAAGTTTCTGATTGTTATAGCTGGAGGGGTGCCGCTGGCTTCTTGTGGGGGGAGGGGGCAGAGATGCTGCTACACACCCCACAGTGCACAGTGCTAATTCAGTAACAATGGATTATGTGGCCCAGGCCACAGTGGCGCTGAGGGTGACACACCCTGGTGTGGAGGAGCCGCCGGGATGGGTAGCACCCGGTGCTAGCAATAGTGGGCAGCCGTCAGCACCCCGGCCTGGAGGTGAGGCAGGGCGCCGTGTGGACAGGGCTGCCGGCAGGGGCCCACAGGAGACATGCCACCCAATACCCTTTCGCCCCATACTAAAGGGGAAACTGAGGCTCGAAGAGGGCAACTAAGGAACTGGCCCAACATGGTAGAACTAGGCAGAGGCTGAACTGGGGTTTCAACACAGGTTAGGTTGCCTGATGCCAGACTCCTGCCCTAACCACTACCCTGCATGGCCCTCGGGACTCGGGGTGTATGCATGGCCCTTGGTTGGGCTGCTGATGTGTTCCTGGGTCTCTGGTCTCTGTTGGGAGGTTGGCTTGGCCCTACTCGACCGGGAGCCCCATCAGGGGTCCTCCTGCCAGGCCTCTCCCATTCCCTTTCTCTCTTCCAGCAAAGACCTGCAGCCCTCCTAGGCCGTCGCCCCAGCAGAACCGCGCTCAGCCAAGGTAACCGTGCCCCGGCCGCCCTGAGCCCCTAACTGGTTCCAGATGCCCTGCCCGAGGCGGGCCAGGCCGTGCAGGCCAGGCCCCGCTGTGGAGTGTTAACACGGCCACATCTGTCTGTGGGCCCCCCATGAGCCCCCCTGGGCCGCCCTCGGAAACCCCTGGCTCCAGCTTTCCCAAACATGCCCAGGTTTACATTCCTGGGCAGCCCCTGCAGCCCCAGCCAGGCCCACGGGACCCTCTGGAGCCGGAGGAGGCCTGCTGCCCGGAGCCTGGCGCCTGGCGCTGCCTCACTCGGGCTGGCATGCTCCCGGCGGCTGGATCAGATGACACAGGCCTTGAGCTAAGCCAGCACCACCTCCCAGGTATCCCATGTGCCCTCCCGTGGCCTGGGGTCTCTGCTTGTCATCCTGCCCTTGCCCAGGAACCCTCTTCCCACCTGGCCTCTGGACCCCCCAGGACATCCCTCAGTCATGCATTTCCCCTGCATGTGGCATCGGGGGTCCTGGGAGTAGGCGGGAGGGCCCAGAGGCCTGGCCGGGGTTCCCCCTCCCTCTGTGTTGCCATGGTCTCTTTCCCTGTCTGCTCTTCTCTCCCAAACCTGGAGCCGCTGGCGGACGTGTGCAGCACCCGGCCAGGGCCCTGCACTGTAGGTGCTCAGTGAAAACATACGGGGTGAATGGATGAAACCCCGCGTGAGTGATTACACCTGCCGGCTGGTCACGCATTGTCCCACCAGTTTTGTCAAACGCCCTCCCTGGCCCAGGCCGCCTCTGTTTGCAGAGTGCCTACTGTGCGCCAGGCCCCACACAGCACATTCACACATGCCTCCCCAAGCCTCGATGCACCTGCACACTCACTCAGGGAACCACTTGGTGTCCCCCCGTCTTTTTTGAATAATTTCCAACCTGTAGAAAGGCTACTGTAAGACAGTGAACATTCACCAGTTGTTGATACCTTGCTATGTCTTTCTATTAAACTTATACTATATGTTAGATACATTTGTATATTCACACACACACACACACTTTTTCTGTATCATCGAGCATTGATACAGAGATGTTTCTGGAGACATCTTACCTCTTTATCCTCAGTCCTTCAGAGAATGTTTCCTATAATGAGGATATTTCCTTATATAACTCAATAGAAGTGCAAGATTCAGGAAGTTTAGCCTGTGCTGTGACACTGTTATACAGTCCGTGATAAAACTGCACACTCACCCTGACAATGTTCTCCTGAGCTGTTTTGTTTGTCTCAAATCCAGGGTCACCCTCAGTACTGGTTGCCATGTCTCTAGTTTCTCAATCTAGAACAGAGGTCTGCAAACGTTTACTGTGAAAGCCAGATAGTAAATATTTCACACGTGACACGGTCTGTCGCAATTACTCAACTCTGCCACAGGACAGAAAAAGCAGCCACAATGTGTACATAAGTGGGCACGGCTGTGTTCTACTAAAAGTTTATTTAAACCATTTCCTCATGAACACCCTCATCCCCACCACCTAGATTTCCTCATTCACATTCCCTTCCACTTGCTTTATCACATAGCTCTCCATCCATCTTAATTTGGGGTGTATTTCAAAGTTACAGATATTGATATTGATACAGATTGTTTGCTTGAGACGAGACTTGAGTGGAACATTGTCAACAGGGGCATCCCCGAGTGATTGTCATGATGCTCTGGGAGCTCTTAGAAGTGCCAGTCCTCCTGCTGGTTCCCAGAGGTTCTGTCTCACGGCCCGAGGTGGGTCCCAGAACCTATACTTTTAGCAAGTGCCCTAAGCGGTTCTGCTATTCAGCCAGCACGGAACTCTATGAGCACGTTACTTCATACCGTTTTCATACCAACACAGTAGTATCCACTATCCCAGTGGTCGGCAAACCGCGGCTCGCGAGCCAACCACTATCCCAATTTATCGGGTGGTTAAGGAAGTGGCTGGAGGTCATTCACCCCATAGGTCAGGGGTGGGGAACGTCCGGCCCGAGGGCTCTATAAAGCCTCGAAATCATTTGGTCTGGCCCTGCCAAGGCATTAGGGGTGAGTTAATCAAAGGTTTGGCCAAATGTAGCAGGCTAATTTTTAAGCTGATAATTGTGTGTCGGTTGGTCAGGCGATGGGAGACGCCGTGCAGGCGGGCTGCGGGATACGCAGCATGGGGAAGGCGCGTGATTCATGCACGAGTTGAGTGAGACTGGCTACAAGACGAGTGTGGATGGGAGAGTTGGAAGGGGTCAACCTCAGCGAACGTACCTCAATCAGACTGAGGACGTTTTTAGCAAAGGCCAGCTTAGGAGTACCCTAATTAAGTTAATAACAATGTACCTACCTATATAGTTTAAGTTTAAAAAATTTGGCTCTCAAAAGAAATTTCAATCATTGTACTGTTGATATTTGGCTCTGTTGACTAATGAGTTTGCCGACCACTGCCCTAGACAATTCAGATGCTAGTCTATTCTTCCAGTTGACTTTACAATGAAGCAAACCGGCCAGCCATGGTGCCCGAGGGCTCTATAAAGCCTCGAAATCATTTGGTCTGGCCCTGCCAAGGCATTAGGGGTGAGTTAATCAAAGGTTTGGCCAAATGTAGCAGGCTAATTTTTAAGCTGATAATTGTGTATGCCCGAGAATGATGTTATAAATATCCAAATGGCCCTCGGCAGAAAAAAAGGTTCCCCACCCTGCCATAGGTGGTAGAGCCAGAATGGGAGCCCTGGCCTATGTGATGTGCTGCCTATACATCGTCCTCTGTGCTAGGCTGCCCCCTGCTGTCCATATGGCAGTACAACCAGAATTCTTGCCTGCTGACCCCAGGCGGGTAGCTGTCTTCAAGTCAGTGTTACAGCATGAAGGGCATGGGAGATTATTGTCAAGGCCACATCTGGGGGCCCTCATTTCATCAGAGTTCACCCAGTCCTGGGCGCCATGGGTCTCTCAGGCCTGGGGCTTTGGGAGGCAGAGCCTACAGGCCGGAGCAGCATCTTCCTGAATGTTCCATCAGCTACTGCTCTCCACTCTGAGGGTGAGGCCGAGAGTGCATCTGTGTTGGTGGTGGAGGAGCGTCATTTCTACATCAGCACCTGGCTGGTGGCTGCTGAACCAGTCTCACTAACATCATCAGGCCGGAGCCGACCCCCCAGGTACGTGGAGGGGGGCCGGGGCCAGGGCAGGCCAGGAGGCTCCCGGGAGCCATTGAGCAAAGGTGAATTGTCCCCCAGGGCGACCCAATGCAGGCAGGGCTGTGAAATGGATAACACTGGCTGG